GCTCAGAATCTTGAGGGGGCGGTGCTGCTCAAGTATGTCTCTGACCGCATTTATTTCTCTGTTTAGGCTGCATATTCACAGCAGGTCCATAAAAGAGATGGGAACTTCTCTTTGGTGTATGGGTCGCTCAGGTGGGTGTCCAGGTTATAGGGTTAGGGATCTTTCCATCATGATAGGACAATGAAAAATTAGATTAGATGTATACTATATTTTAAAATGTATATCCCTCATCTACACAAAATTGAATGCTCTCTCTCACTACCCCTGCTCATAGACCCCCGGTCGGCTCTGGGATATGCAACCATTTCCCCTCTCACTCACTTAACGCCACACCTTTTCAAACACAAAAATGCACACCACATGGTTGACTGCGGAAGAAATGGGCAGAGCGTGCAAACGCACCCGCATCCACATCTGCCGCAAGGGGGAAAGGACACCAGAGAGAACACAGGTGTCACGATCGTCGGATACAGAGGACCAAGGCGCAGCGTGGAAGGCGAACATACTTTTATTTATTAGAATAATCACCCAAACAAAACAACAAATCGATACGTGACGTCCTCGGTTCAAACACAAACCTACACTGGAACAAGATCCCACACCAAACAATGCCAAACGGCTACCTAAGTATGGCTCCCAATCAGAGACAACGAGCTACAGCTGTCTCCGATTGGGAGCCACCCTGGCCAACATAGAAATACTAAACTAGAACAAAACCCAATGAAAACTCACACCCTGGCTCAACATACTAGAGTCCCCAGAGCCAGGGCGTGACAACAGGACCAACCACAACAACCATCCGCCAAAACAACAACCTCCCGCCAAAACAGCCATGTTCTAATTATTTGTATTTAAAGATGTATTATTCTGCTTGTTATATCGTTTTATCCTTTTATAAAATACTATACTTAATATAATTGTTATTTAATATTACAATCCCTATCATTGCTAGTATCAGGTGCTCCAATATTTGACTCCTCTATTACAACTTTTAGAATAGCCATGGAGTAGTCTTTGTGTCTGTGAACATTTGGTTGTCAATATATAATTTATCCACCACTAGTGCAACACGTTTCCCTTTTAATCTGTTTTCCTTGAAGATTGGATACAGAACTTTGCGCCTTTCTACAATCTCCCTCGGGAACTGATCATTCATGCCTGTTTTCGTGCCAGCAAGTCTTTTTCCTAGGCTTTTCACCATAGCTTTATTCTTAAAAAAAAGCAAATTTGGCAACGATTGGGCGCTCATATTTCTGTCCTCTTTTTCCGAAACAATGTACACGTTCGAGTTGGATTTTATCGACAGCCTCGAGTGGGATTTGTAGCGCTGTATGCAGGAAGTCCTTCATAATATTCTCTGTTATTTCTCCCTCCTTTTCCTGAATACCCGTAAGTACTAGATTTTCCCTCATCGATCTAGTTTGGATGTCTAGTAAGGCTTCTCTCAGAAGGTTGTTCTCCTTTTTTAGTTCCCTAACGTCCGTTTCCATTTTAGAGACTGTCACTTTTAATTCTTTGGTTTCTTTCTCCATTACCAAAGCTTTTTCGTCACTCATTTGAAGACTCGCTTTCAACTCTTTTACGTCTTTACTGACCAATTCTAGTATGCCCAATTTGTCATTTATCGACTTCAACAGGTCGCTTTCCACACTTACCATACCCAGTGGTGAAAAGCATATATCATCTGTATCAGTCGATGAGTCGCGTTTCCTTTTGGGGATCGGCTCTCCACGCTTGTCTTCAGTCATGTTTGGGTGTTGCGTGTTGTTGTAATATTTGTCGATATATTTCTCTAGCCTTATGATCTGTTTTGTGTTATTATCCAGATTGAATTATATTAACTGCGAATATATGAAATGCTAATATTTAGTCTAACTTACTGATTTTGAATATTATGTTTTTATCTTGAGGTGTTTTGTACCGATTTCTATTCAATATGCCATCTTGTCTACGCGTGCCCCTTACTAGAGAACTAGTTTTCCCAGAATCCCGTGCTTGCACCTCTGTGCCCTGGCATGTGTTATTGTTTGACATCATCACTTCCTCTCCATTACGAGCTTCCTGTTCCCCTGGTTTACTAACACTCATTACCATCAGGAAATACGCACGCACGCCCTCATATTTTCATGTGAGACATTTTTCCACTCTGGTGGACTAACAATTAACTGTCAATCTAGCTCTCCTATCCCACCCGCTGGGTCTCCATGGTAACCAGTGATCAATCAATCAATTAACCACCCTGACCAATCATTCCTGATTCCTGATCAATGGCACTGCACGTTCACACCGGTGTAGAGTCCATAGAATATAGGTCACACTGTGTGTGTTTGTTCCAGGACTATACTGATTAATGTCATTTGAGCCCTGGAGTATAGAGAGCTCACAACAACAGAGATCAGACTATGTAACTAACTGTTCCAGTTCTAGAACAGATTCAGGTCAAATAGTCACGCTATCTAAGAGCAACTCCACTACAATCTATGAGTGTTAAGTGATAGAATATTATATAGTGTATCTCTATGGACTAAATTACCCTCAGACACGGAACCCTGACTCAAACAGTGACGTGTGTTCGTGTGTGTGTTTTAGGGGAAGCACCTAAAGACCTAAACAGTAGTCTGAATGGCATCTCATACACAAACAAACACAGCTATCAGCGATTGACTCACAGAACATCCCACGCATCTAGACAACTTATCTCGCCATTGCAATCTGGGAGAGGGGTAAAAATAAAAGGACCAGGTGTATATTACAATAGTGTGTGTGTTAGTCATTCAAAGTAAATTTGTCATTGTTCCACCAGCGAGGGTGATAAACAGCGGGTCTATAAAACAGCTTGTAAAGGAAGCAGACAGGGCCATATGTCAATACAAACAACACACTCATTTTACATTAACATTTTAGTCATTTAGCAGACGCTCTTATCCAGAGCGACTTACAGTTAATGAGTGCATACATTTTTTTTCATATACTCCAGGGAGATTACTCCACTATAGGTAGAAGTTCACCCTAATCACTGATTCAGGGTCAGATTTATGTTCACCCCCTTAACGGTTAGTTATGATATGGGGTAGGGTGATCTGATCCTAGATCTGTTGTCGCTATCTTAATTCCAGAAGCAGAGAGTGGGATGCGGTAAGCCTTGGCCTGAGGCTGGGGAAGCTGGGTTACCCTAAGGAGAGACAAGGGTTTTCTTGTACAAGGCTAATAAGGATTGTAACAGTGCATGGAAAAAGTGACCAGAGAGGAAAACACAAAAAAGATGCAAAGACAGCTGGTGCACACACACACACACACACACACACACACACACACACACACACACACACACACACACACACACACACACACACACACTGTCATGGAAGCATTGACACATGACACATTACCCACCAAAGCCAAAAACAAACACGGCACAGGACATGATTGATCATTTATGAGTTTATTCCAACTTTATACATATTTACACCATTTTATTCCATTATAATCAATGACAAACAAATCAACAAAGGAAACAAATGGATCAAATACAGCAGCAATGTTAGGAATTACTAGAATCATAATGGAAGAGATCTGATATACAGAAGTGTTTAGAAAGGCCACAATTCAATCATGCCACATCAGTTAGGTCTGTAGTCAATCTAGTCAGACACATCCAACACACAGATAGCATAACACACACACCAACAACCAACCCTACGAGAGAGCGAGCAACAGAGTCAGAGTGAAAACAGGGCACTATCCCTCCATCATGCCAGAGCAAGAGAGAAAGAGAAAGAGAGAGAGATCAGGCTACTGAGTGAACAGATAAGGAGTTTGCACATGTGCACTGTGCTGGCCAACACTGGTAAGGCAAACTTAGGAGAAATGATCATTTGATAGTTGAGGAGACATTCTCCCTCTACCTCTCCTCATTAACCCCCTCTCTCTTTCTCAGTAGTTGTTTTCTCCTTCCCTCCCTCCTGTTCCTCCATCCCCTCTACAGAATCCCTTTGCATCCTCCAAGTGCTTCTATTAATCATACATTTTTCCCCAGCAACACACATCACTATGTGTGTGTGTGGCAGTGTTGGTGTGTGGGTGGGGGTGCTGTAATGAAAGCTCAGATTCCTGGGGGGGGGCTGAGAAGAGCAGAGTGGGCATCACAAGGAACACACCACACACTGAGTTGAGGGTGTTGCTCAACATTTAACTGAGTGTGTGTAGTCAGATGGGAAATTCCCCCCCTCATAGTCCCGGCATTCCACAGGCGCCAAGTCAGTGCTGGACACCCTGTGTGTGTCTCTGTGTGTATGTCAGGTCAAAGGGCACAAGACACAGGAAGTCCATAAACAGAGACGCTCTCTCAAGTTCACCTCCGACCGACACCGGACAAACACGACTGTGTGTGTTTGTGTGTACCAGGGCACCAGCATCTGCCCAAAACACCCTAAAACAACATCCTGGACCTCACTGTCTTGACCTTAGTCTAGGGGCCTAAGAAATATTCATAAGCAGCAATGTCACTCTTATGTCACTGTAATGTCACTTCAATGTACAGTTATAATGCAGGGCTATGAGCTGTGGCAAAACACAACTCAACATTCATACATTTACATTTTAGTCATTTAACAGACACTCTTATTCAGAGCAACTTACATGAGTAATTAGGGTTAAGTGCTCAAGGGCACATCGACAGATTTTTCAACTAGTCAGCTTGGGGATTCGAACCAGCAACCTTTCAGTTACTGGCCCAACGCTCTTAACCGCTAGGCCACCTGCCGCCCTACATATTAGACATTCATAAAATCATACATAAAAAAAAACATACAGATAGATGTCTACTGCTCTATCAGTAGGACATTCTAACGGATAGTACTGACAGTCCATTCACTGTAGTCCTGTACACAGCAATCTGAAGGCCATTATCATTATACTTCACATACTGTCCTGATAAGCTAAAAATGATGTGGTGTCACTGAGTTGGCGCTAAAGCATGTGTGTGTGTGTGTGTCTCACTCTCAGGCACTGGACAGCATGGTGGAGGTGAAGATCTGTTGCAGGATCTGAGGGATGTGCTTGGTGTCCATGGCAACGAAGGACCGCCCAGCCGGCAATGTTCTCTGGAGCCTGGAGAGAGAGAGAGAGAGAGAGAGAGAGAGAGAGAGAGAGAGAGAGAGAGAGAGAGAGAGAGAGAGAGAGAGAGAGAGAGAGAGAGAGAGAGAGAGAGAGAGAGAGAGGAGAAAAATGACAAAAAGTCAGAGCGAGAGAAGAGCGAGTTAGAGAGAGAGAGAGATAGTGACCTTCTACTGTCAAATTTCTGAACAGAAATAGATGACAAGATTCAACCCACAGTGTGTTCAGTAGCTGAATGTGGACACTCCATTGAGAAAGAGACCCCACTTTGTGAGGACAAATGATCCAGATGTTTCCTGAGCCAATGAATGAATGCGAGACAATAGCTGTCATTGACAGACAGAACTGACTTGATCCCCTTCTCTCTCTCTCTCTCTTCCCATGGTTAGCTGCCTCCCTCAACCCCCCCCCCCCCCCCCCCATCCTTTTTCTTTTTATTCCGGTCGTTATGTCATGATCACTGCTTTTTAGGCCATGGCAGTGACCAGCTTAGAGACACCACAGCCACAACCTTAGCCACAGAAACAGGGAGGAATGTACTGCCACATATAACTCTCTGTCTTCTTTCCCCCTTGCTCTCTCACTCTCTCTAACTTGGTCCTAAGCTATAGTGAGAGACTGAGACGGAGGTTAAAGCTACCCATTGACATTCTCCAGCCTGAGGCCGGGACAGAACGACAAACAATATGGCCCACACCGTTCAGACTTCAAAGGACACGCGACGCGAACCACACAAGCCATAACACAGGCCAGACAACACTGTATGTGTGTATGTGTCAGGGGCAGAGAGAGAAGGATAATTAGGTTTAAGAGAGCACTTATCCTTCTTGGTCCTGTATTTAGAATCTCTTTAAACTGGGATTTCATTGAGAACAAAGACTACAAAGGACTACTGAACAGCAGGCAGCACACTGTGTGGGTAGGATAAAGTACTGGTCAAACTATACTGTTATATCCTCCAGTAAGTGCTTGATGTAGGAGCCTACTTACTTGAGTCACCTGTTACGATAAACAATCATCACGGCTTGACACACACACTATCTCCTTCCACCATCTTCTCACCTGTCGGCCTGGTCGCCCAGCGAGCCGATGAAGATGGCAAAGGCGTTGACCTGGGGGTCCGAGGTCAGGGCGCGGGCAAAGCGTTCGGGCGTGATTCCGTAGCGCTCCAGGTTGGCGTCGCTCAGCACCACCACGAAGCGCTCGTCAGCGTCCTCGCGTGCCAGCTCCCTGATGCCAGCCTCTGTGCTCTCCAGGGTGTAGTCTCCACTCATACAAAACTGGGAGTGGGCATGCATGTTCTGGAGAGGGCAGAGAGAGAGGTGAGGACACACACACAGTGGAAGAGAGGACAGGAGACGAGAATTGGTAGGGTAGAATGGGTAGAATAGGTAGAATGAGGTTGAGTGGGGTAAAGTGAGATATATAGTAGGGTAGTGTGGGGTAGAGTAGGGTTGAGTGAGGTTAGGTAGGGTAGAGTAGAGTGAAGTTGAGTGGGGTAGTGTGAGGTTGTGTGGGGTTGAGTGGGGTAGTGTGAGGTTGAGTGGGGTAGTGTGAGGTAGGTGGTTGTGTGCGGTTTTGGGTTGTGGGTGTGTTGAGTGGGGTAGTGTGGGTGGAGTTAGTTGAGTGGGGTCCGTGCGCTTCGCTTGTGTCGTGTGGGGTCGCGTGTTGCGTGGGGTAGTGTGCGGTTGCGTTTCGTGTGCCGTTGGTGGTAGTGTGCAGGTTGAGTGGGCGTGTGGGTGTTGGGTGTTTAGGGTTTGCGTCGTGGGGTGTGTGAGGTTGTGTGGGGTCGTAGTGTGGGGTAGTATGTGGGTTTGGTTAGGTGGGTTCGGTCGTTGTAGTTAGTGGTTGGTCCCTGCGCTCTCTCGTCGGGTCGTGTGGGTCGCGTCGGTTGCGTGCGTTCGGTGGTAGCGTCGCGTGCGGTTGCGTGGGCTCGTGTGCGGTTGCGTGGGTTGCGTGGGTCGCGTGCGGTTGCGTGGGTCGTGTGCGGTTGCGTGGGTCGTGTGCGGTTGCGTGGGTCGTGTGCGGTTGCGTGGGGTCGTGGGCGTTGCGTGGGGTCGTGTGGGTTAGTGGAGCAGTGTGGGGTAGAGTGGGGTGAGGTTGCGTGGGTATGTGAGGTTGAGTGCGTAGCGTGTGGTCGTTGTGGGTTGAGTGGGGTAGTGTGCGGTAGAGTGAGTTTGAGTGGGGTAGTGTGAAGTTGAATGGAGTAGTGTGAGGTAGAGTGAGGTTGAGTGGGGTAATGTGAGGTTGCGTTGCGGTAGTGTGGGTTGCTGGGGTCTTGTGGGTCGCGTGGAGTTGTGTGGGGTTGTGGGGTTAGATGAGATTGAGTGGGGTCGAGTTGATATTGCGTGGGTTGTAGGTTATGTGGGGTATTGTGGGTTTTGTGGGGTAGTGTGCGTTGCGTGGGTAGTGTGAGTTGAGTGGGGTCGTGTGAGGTAAGTGACGTTGAGTGGGGTCTTGTGGGTTGAGTGGGTTGTGTGTATTTTAGTGGGGTCGTGTGCGTTGCGTGGGTAGTGTGCAGTTTGAGTGGGTTTCTGGGGTAGTGTGAGGTTGCGTGGGGTCGTGTGAGTTGAGTGGGTCGTGGTGGTTAGGGTGGCTTTTGTTTGGTTTTTGGGGTCGTGTGTCGGGTGGTTGTTTGTGCTCGGTGGTTGCGTGGGTCGCGTGCGCTGCGTGGGGTCTTGTTCGGTGCGGTCGGTTGCGTGGGTCGTGCGCGGTTGTTGTTCGGTTCGCGTGCGGTTGCGTGTTGTCTTGTTGGTTGCGTGTGCTCGTGTCGGTTTGGTTGGGCCGTGTGAGGTTGAGTGGGATAGTGTGAGGTTGAGTGAGGTAGGGTGAGGTTGAGTGGGGTAGAGTGAGGTTGAGCGGGATAGTGTGGGGTAGAGGCAGAGTGAGGTAGAGTCAGTGGAGTAGAGTGAGATATAGAGTAGGCTAGTGTTCGGTAGAGTGGGGTAGAGTGAAGTGGAGTTGGGTCCGTACCTTGAGGACCTTCAGTCTCTGTTTGTTGTTCTTGGGGACCTTGTCTGTTCTGACCAGCTCTATGTCGTAACCATCACCAGAATGACCCACAATGTCATACTGGAGAAAAGAGAGAAAGCTGAGGTAAAACAACTTATGACCTATACGTAGCAAGTCCTACAGCTGCACCATTGACAGCATCTTGACTGGCTGCATCACCGCTTGGTATGGCAACTGGTTGAACCAGTACAGCACCATCCAGGACCTCTATACCAGGCGGTGTCAGAGGAAGGCCCTAAAAATTGTCCAAGACTCCAGCCACCCCCTTTTTATTTGCACGTACTCTCTTGTACCGGCTCTATGCACACCCACTGGACTCTACCCACACACTTACACACACACACGCATGTATATTGACGCCACACACATACACACACTTTCACACTCTTCACATACCTGTACACTGCTGCTACTCTGTTTATTATCTATCCTGATTACCTAGTTACTTTTACCCCTACCTACATGTACATATTACCTCAACTACCTCGTACCCCTTCACATTGACTCGGTATTGGTACTCCTTGTATATAGTCTCGTTATTGTTATTTTATTGTGTACTATTTCCTTTTTTGCACATTTGTCTTACTTTTGAACTCTGAATTGTTGGGAAAGGGCTCGTAAGTAAGCATTTCACGGTAAAGTCTACACCTGTTGTATTCGGCGCATGTGACATGGTTTTGCATATTTTCAGCCTTGTGAATAAAAAGGAGCATACAACATCATGCAATACATCTCCAACCCTGGTTCTCAACCTATCACCACTGCCTAGAAAGCAAAGCCAAGCATTCCCCCCTGCTGCTATGTTGGTCCACTGCTATAGCCGGGGATGGCACTGATGATCCAGTGATATTAGGGCTCATATTTATGGAGGGTCAAGGGTATTCTGTCTCTGCCAGAGCCCAGTATGTCAGCCTAGTCACACACTTCTGCCATCAATCATCTTTTAAAACCTAGTTTTCACATAACCCAGAGTCAGATAAAGTGTCCTACAGTGGAACTCCCCATATCTAGTGTCACATGGCATCACTCCTGTCTCACTGTTACGTGTGTGTGCAGGCACGTGCACAGATAGGGATCTACCTGTGCCCGAGCACCTGCCCCTTTGCCCTCCCACTCGCCAAGTGCCCATTTGGGTGTTTTTTTGTATACCGTTTTTGTCATTGTTGTTCTGAAGCCACTGCCCCAAAGTCGTCGTGACGTCGTCAAGTTCGTCATCCCCCTAACCCTACCCCGTCCGTTGGTCTACCCTGTACGGAGCTCACGTGCGCCTGGTTGTGCCTTTTTCCCAGTCTGCCCTGTACAGAGATAGCGTGCGCCCGGTATCCAAAAATGCATGGCGAGATGCGATCACCGTGTGTAGCAAGCTACCTATTTTAAATATCAACAGTGCTGCCACAGCAGCATAACATTTGATTAACACTTGATTTACATCATCATCAATATTTGGTCTGGTTGGCTACGGCAGCAGCACTTCATCATTTATTTCCTCATAGAATCATAGCCACGGGAAGGGTGCTGGAGGTGCTGCAGCACCCCTGATACATTTAAATAAATGTGTCAAAGTTACAGTATTATTGCTGTCTGTTCAGAAATAAATGAAATAATTCAGAAAAGCCTACTACACCATAAGTAGGCCTATAATTTAGCCACAGAGGAAGGATCAACAGCTTCTTTAAAACAAGTCTAGCTGTGGATTGTGTGTTGCCCAATAAGAAGGCATAGCCTACAGGCGGGAACGCGCAGCAAATCTGTCAGTGAACAGCATGAATTCAAAACAGGCCTTTCTCAATATTTCAAATACAATCTTGAGAAAACACTGGTTGGAAAGCAAATGGCTCCTGCTGAAAATAAAATACTCTAATCTGTCTGATGTAGGCTATCAAAATATTTTATCAACTTCCAAATAGGCATATTGAGCGAACATTGTTTTACAAAGTAAAATAAGAGAGAGATATAGGCTTTTGGCACGAGCGCATCGGCCATCGCCGGAGAGTAAGCTGCGCATAATTTCCTCCTCATATTGTACAATATGTGTCTCCACACACCTAGACCTAGGCTATTGATGGATTCAAGATGAGGTCGTTTTTTATTGATCTCAGATTCTCAGTTTGTCAGTGTCAAAGTAGTCTGTCATTTAAAAAAGATTCTGTCAAAGTCTCCAGTCATGTAAAATGATGTAGAATTGCATGAAATGCGTGTATATAAGGCCACATTTTCTCCCGGACCCTAGGCTACAAAAAATCAGCTGATAGCCTACCCTCGTTTCCCGCTTGCTTCAAATTGATGATGAGTGTGTTGTTGCAGAAATAAATAGGCCTATGCTAAAAATGCATTTTTCTCTACAGAGGCATTTAGTGGGTGCCCTTTTTTATATTTTGAACACCTGCCCCCTGAAAGGTCTATGCATGGCCCTGTGTGTGTGTGTGTGTGTGTGTATGTATGTACAGTACCAGTCAAAAGTTTGGACACACCTTCTCATTCAATGTGTTTTGTATGTGTGTGTGTATGAACCCTGTTGACTAAACATGGGCTTAGCTTCTTCTAAACATGACTTTATGATGCTCTGGAATGCAACACTGAAGTCGTCTAGTTTCCTCTCTTTTATAACTTGCATACAGGCTGGTGTGTGTGTTAGTATACAGTGCCTTGCAAAAGTATTCATCCCCCTTGGCGTTTTTCCTATTTTGTTGCATTACAACCTGTAATTTAAATGGATTTTTATTTGGATTTCATGTAATGGACATACACAAAATAGTCCAAATTGGTGAAGTGGAAAAATTCAAAACAATTAATAACGGAAAAGTGGTGCGTGCATATGTATTCACCCCCTTTGCTATGAAGCACCTAAATAAGATCTGGTGCAACCAATTACCTTCAGAAGTCACATCATTAGTTAAATAAAGTTCACCAGTGTGCAATCTGTCACATGATCTCAGTATATATACACCTGTTCTGAAAGGCCCCAGAGTCTGCAACACCACTAAGCAAGGGGCACCACCAAGCAAGCAGCACCATGAAGACCAAGGAGCTCTCCAAACAGGTCAGGGACAAAGTTGTGGAGAAGTACAGATCAGGGTTGGGTTAGAAAAAAATATCAGAAACTTTGAACATCCCACGGAGCACCATTAAATCCATTATTAAAAAATTGAAAGAATATGGCACCACAACAAACCTGCCAAGAGAGGGCCGGCCACCAAAACGCATGGACCAGGCAAGAAGGGCATTAATCAGAGAGGCAGCAAAGAGACCAAAGATAACCCTGAAGGAGCTGCAAAGCTCCACAGCGGAGATTGGAGTATCTGTCCATTGAACCACTTTAAGCCGTACACTCCACAGAGCTGGGCTTTACGGAAGATTGGCCAGAAAAAAATAAGCAAACACGTTTGGTGTTCGCCAAAATATGGAAGAAGGTACTCTGGTCAGATGAGACTAAAATTGTGCTTTTTGGCCATCAAGGAAAACGCTATGTCTGGCGCAAACCCAACACCTCTCATCACTCCGAGAACACGATCCCCACAGTGAAGCATGATGGTGGCAGTATCATGCTGTGGGGATGTTTTTCATCAGCAGGGACTGGAAAACTGGTCAGAATTGAAGGAATGATGGATGGCGCTAAATACAGGGAAATTCTTGAGGGAAACCTGTTTCAGTTTTCCAGAGATTTGAAACTGAGACGGAGGTTCACCTTCCAGCAGGACAATGACCCTAAGCATACTGCTAAAGCAACACTCGAGTGGTTTAAGGGGAAACATTTAAATGTCTTGGAATGGCCTAGTCAAAGGCCAGACCTCAATCCAATTGAGAATCTGTGGTATGACTTAAAGATTGCTGTACACCAGCGGAACCCATCCAACTTAAAGGAGCTGGAGCAGTTTTGCCTTGAAGTATGGACAAAAATCCCAGTGGCTAGATGTGCCAAGCTTATAAAGACATACCACAAGAGACTTGCAGCTGTAATTGTTCCAAAAGGTGGCTCTACAAAGTATTGACTTTGGGGGGGTGAATAGTTATGCACGCTCAAGTTTTCAGTTTTTTTGTCTTATTTCTTGTTTGTTTCACAATAAACATATTTTGCATCTTCCAAGTGGTAGGCATGTTGTGTAAATCAAATGATACAAACCCCCCAAAAATCTATTTTAATTCCAGGTTGTAAGGCAACAAAACAGGAAAAATGACAAGGGGGGTGAATACTTTCGCAAGCCTCTGTATGTGTGTGCGTGTGTCTCTGTGTGTGTGCGTGTGTCTGCACATCTTATCTTAGATGTATATGAGCAGGTGGCACCTGTCAGATTGTAGAGCACAGGTGTGTGTGTGTTTTATCAGATGCAGGTGTGTTACGCAAGTGTGTGTAACACTGATATGTGAGCAGTAGGTCAGGTGGTGTAGGGGAAAACGCTGTGGGGCCATGAAGTCTGCCACTTCACCCTCCTCTCCACTCCTCACACACGTCTGACATGGACACTATCCCTCCCTCCCTCTCACCACCCATTTATCACTCTACCCCTCGCACTCCCCCTTTCCCTCTCTCCTCCCCTTTCCTCTCTTTGACCCTCTCTCTCGCACTCTCTCTCCTGTGAAAGGTGACTATACTTCACAGATATTACAGTCTGGACAAACCAACACATATTCTGTCTAAAGAATACTTTAGCTGATCCTAGTTTTGTACCGACGGGAAACTACTGCATGTGCATATGTGTGTATCTCACCTTGATCTTCTGTTCGTAGCTCTCCAGGGCTTCCATCACCATACACACAGCTTCCATGGATCTCTCCAGCCTGCCGTCCACCCCGTTGAAACGGTACATGCTCCCCGACACGTCAGCTAACACACGCAGACGCTTTGGCTTCTGCTGCGGGCTGCCCAACTATACACACACACACACACACACACACACACACACACACACACACACACACACACACACACACACACACACACACACACACACACACACACACACACACACACACACACACACACACACACAGAGACATACAGACAGACACACACAGAAACAGAGGATTAAACAGATAGTACACACAGACTTCCCTGCAGGATGGAATATTACAGGGGAACTGGTACTGTATAGAACTGGAACACAATAATATTAGAAACAAAAAACTATGTTTTAAGTGAGAATCCCTACTATAATATTCTGGAAAAGAACGTTTTCACAGAGACAAGCTGAGACACATTATCTTAATCACTCTACTTAACATCAGCAAATAAAAGCTAGGGGAAACTCATTCATTCAGAAAACTGGTCATCACTTCAAGTGGATATCCATGGAAAAAGGCACTGCTCAATTGCATTACCTAGAAATAACTGACTTAATAGTGGGAGAAACATTTTCTTTTGTTTCTCCTTTATATCTCTTAAGTGGGTGTTTATTATGTTACCATAGACGGGTGGCCTCTCTAGACAGACCAAAAATATTTGACGCTTGGAGCTAAGTGAGATTAAAACGTGTGTGTATTTTGGTTAGTGAGTTTGTGTTTGTTTGGGTACACGTGCGTATGGGGGGGATGTGTTAATGTGGGAACATTGTGTTTGTGTGTGTGGTTAATGGCTAGTTAAGTGTGGGAACCTGGGAGAATGTGTGTGATCCGAGACCATAGATTTGCAATAATAATAATAATCACACACACCACAGGAATCCAACTACACACACACACACACACACACACAGATATGCGCGCATGCACAACACACCTACCTCTGGATCCACCTCTCCTCTGCGTTTGTAGATAGCCTTCTCTCCCGTCAGTCCGTCTATGATCTTAGCATCGTCCAGCTCTCCCAGTGACTGGTTCTTCAACCACTGACGCTCCTTACCTTTGGCCTGGGGACACAGACAGAGAAACACTGTCAACATATCACCCACTAATCAACTCTGATAGGGATAGACTAATTCCCAAACAATCAGAACAATCTAAGGGCCAGTCTCCTTAACCCAAATTAAGCATACTCCTGGACTTAAGAGCATGGAGGATCTTTGAAAGTGTTTGTAGTCCAGGAATAAGCTTAGTCTGGGTTTGGGAAACTGACCCTCAGTGATCAGAAGGCTCAGAGTGTTTCATCACTACTGTTTAGGAGAAGACTTAAAAACAATATTTTCATGGAACCACAAATACAAATCTTTCTCTGGGCATTTGACAGGGCAAACAAAGAAAGATTGATTAAGTATGACAGGCAGAAAAAGTATGATAACCAGAAAAAGGTTATATTGATTACCGGGCGATAGTTGCCTAAACGGTCCATAATATGTAACAGCTGGACAGGGTTATGGTGGCTAGACGGGTCACTGTTCACACATTCTACACAGACATGACAAGCTCTAGTAGACACAGTAGAGGATGTTATCAGCTAATACTACTACACAGTCGTGCACACATATGCGCAACACACACACACACACACTCACACTCACACTCACACACACACACACACACACACACACACACACACACACACACACACACACACACACACAGAGATAAGAGATACAGTATGAGATATCACATAATGCACAGTAAGTAGCCTATGCACACCCCAGCCCACCCCACCCCAGTCCACCACAGCCCACCCCAGTCCAGTCCAGCCCAGACCAGTCCACCCCAGCCCACCCCACCCCAGGGTTATGTCACAACAGCCCACTGCTATTGTATCTGGATCTGATACACCCTTAAAAACAGAACTAGGATCAGCTGACTGACAAAATCCTAACCATTACAGAGAATAAGACAAAACCGGGGTCTCCCCAGAGTGAGAAAATATGGATCATGTCTCAATCTGGCAACCCTGTCCATTGCGAGCTGTGTTTAGGAGTAAACACTGAGGGCAATCACATATGGAACTGTGTGTGTGTGTGGGTAATCACATATGGAAGACTGTGTGTATGTATGTGTGTGTGTGTGTGTGTGTGTGTGTGTGTGTGTGTGTGTGTGTGTGTGTGTTATCAGAAGGGATTCCCCGGTGGGGCGGTCTGCTCTGATCTCTACAGCTGACAGAAACAATAGGGTATCATTTCATTTCCCTGGGAGCCTGCAAGCTCTACTGTGTGTGTGTGTGTATAAAAAGCTATGTTAAGATAGCACATTACTTCATATACACACAGGATAGTTCTCTTTATAGGAACAAATAAAAACAAACAACATAAGCATGTTCAAAGACAGAGATTATAGATCTTCACACAAGGCGTGGAGCGCACGCATGCACTATATATACTTGTGTGGACTTTTTGGGGACCAACAATTCAAAATCAAAATTTCCCTAACCTTAACCCTAATTCTAACCCAAACCCCTAAAATTGCGGACCGGAAAAATGTCCTCACTTCTATGAATTTCAGTTTGTTTACTATTCTTGTGAGGACTTTTGGTAATCACAAGTATAGTAAAACGTTCACACACACACACCCACCCACCCACCCTGGACTGGAGAATCATAGAGCTTGGCCTCATACTCTGTAATCATTGTCATGTCCTAAAAGTATTTCCACTCTTCTCACACGCATACACACAAATCCAATTACACACGTACAACTACCTACCTCTCCCAGGAAAAGATAAAAAGACAGAATCACACTCCTGATATTTGGCAACACCCATTGTCCAGGGGCCCTCATCTGGACAACCAATCAGAGTGCTTGTTAGGGCCAGTGAGGACTGCTATTACCAACATGGGAACAGTATTCTGGGACATATCGTGTGTGTTGTTACCTGTAAGCTGTCTAGAATTATGCGTAGAGACTGGACCTGTCTTCTGACATTTCCAGAGAAACGCTCGTAGGTAGATGCATCATATTCACTCATGTCTATCTCCTTCAACCTGGGGAAAGAAGAGAGGGAGAGAGGTAGAGATAGGGGGGGTTAGAGAAAGAAACAGTGGGCTACTGTTGCCATTATTCTAAAAGGAAAAATACAACCAAGATCAGAGGCAATGTGTACAACATTCATCCTAAATGAAAGGTGATGGGTGTTGACACAAGCATGTTAGCATGTGTGAGAAGTGTATAAGGGATGTTTCCATGAGCTCAGCACACCTGAAGAGCAGAAGAGAGGGGCCAGTCCTGTTTAATAAGGGCCAGTGGGAGGCGTGTGTGTGTTTGTGTGTGTGTGTGTGTGCGCGCAGGTGGGCTGATTGATGCCTGACTGGAGTGCTGCCAGCCCCTGATCCTCACACACACTAGCAATCCACGCAAGCATACACACACACCTGTGTAGCCTAGGGCAGGTGTGTTGAACCCTCCAGGTAAGAGTAGCATATCTAAATCTCTGTGTTAATCCCAGTGACTGGCAGAGTTAATCCTTTCCCCCATGGAGCGTGCACACACACACACACACACACACACACACACACACACACACACACGCACGCCTTTAATCCAGGTAAATAGGGACAGGCAGATATGAGACCACATCTCTCCCTGAAGGCCTGCTGGGGGATTGTCTATGAGGTGTTTGAAGTCTAAACTGAGAACCAGAGCGTGACAAGATGGTGTGTGTGTGTGTGTGGTGTGTGTTTTCAGTCGGTGGTATTGTGGCTGTGTGTGTATCAGCCGTGCGATCAGTCTGACTTTATCCTGTCACGTATCACAGTTTCAAACAAACTGCTAACACATGGGTCAAATCCCTACCACTAGCAACTAGTATAGTAGCCTCTCTGCACAGGCTACACAAACGCACCACACCGCGCGGCTGCTGCCTCTCTAACCTGGTGGTCCCTGCACGCACCCCTCACCTGGAGTTCCAGGTCGCAGGCAGCCTCTGGAACTGCCGTTCTGCTGCCAACAAAGCTGACTTCATCCCAGCCTATGCCAACCTCCAGTCCCTCGACTTCCTGGCGCTGACGGAAACATGGATCACCACTGAAAACACTGCTACTCCTACTGCTCTCTCCTCGTCTGACCATGTGTTCTCGCATACCCCGAGAGCATCTGGTCAGAGGGGTGGTGGTACAGGAATCCTCATCTCTCCCAAGTGGACATTCTCAATTTTTCCCCTAACCCATCTGTCTATCTCCTCATTTGAATTCCATGCTGTCACAGTCACTAGCCCATTTAAGCTTAATATCCTTGTCATCTATCGCCCTCCAGGTTCCCTTGGAGAGTTCATCAATGAGCTTGACGCCTTGATAAGTTCCTTTCCTGAGGATGGCTCACCCCTCACAGTTTTGGGGGATTTCAACCTCCCTATGTCCACATTTGACTCATTTCTCTCTGCCTCCTTCTTTCCACTCCTCTCCTCTTTTGACCTCACCCTCTCACCGTCCCCCCCTACTCACAAGGCAGGCAATACGCTTGACCTCATCTTCACTAGATGCTGCTCCTCTACTAATCTCACTGCAACTCCCCTCCATGTCTCCGACCACTACTTTGTTTCCTTTTCTCTCTCGCTCTCCTCCCACACTACTCACTCTGCCCCTACACAGATGGTAATGCGCCGCCGCAACCTTCGCTCTCTCTCTCCCACTACTCTCTCCTCTTCCATCCTATCATCTCTTCCCTCTGCTCAATCCTTCTCCCTCCAATCTCCTGATTCTGCCTCCTCAACCCTCCTCTCCTCCCTTTCTGCATCCTTTGACTCTCTGTGTCCCCTATCCTCCCGGCCGGCTCGGTCCTCCCCTCCAGCTCCGTGGCTTGATGACTCACTGCGAGCTCACAGAACAGAGCTCCGGGCAGCGGAGCGGAAATGGAAGAAAACTAAACTCCCTGCCGACCTGGCATCTTTTCACTCCCTCCTCTCTACATTTTCTTCATCTGTTTCTGCTGCTAAGGCCACCTTCTACCACTCTAAATTCCAAGCATCTGCCTCTAACCCTAGGAAGCTCTTTGCCACATTTTCCTCCCTCCTGAATCCTCCCCCCCACCCCCCCCCCCCCCCCCTCCTCTCTCTCTGTGGATTACTTCGTCAACCACTTTGAAAAGAAGGTTGACGACATCCGATCCTCGTTTGTTAAGTCTAATGACACTGCTGGTCCTGCTCACACTGCCCTACCCTATGCTTTGACTTCTTTCTCCCCTCTCTCTCCAGATAAAATTCTGCGACTTGTGACTGCAGGCCGCCCAACAACCTGCCCGCTTGACCCCATCCCCTCCTCCCTTCTCCAGACCATCTCCGGTGAACTTCTCCCCTACCTCACCTCGCTGATCAACTCATCCTTGACCGCTGGCCATGTCCCTTCCGTCTTCAAGAGAGCGAGAGTTGCTCCCCTTCTCAAAAAACCAACACTCGACCCCACTGATGTCAACAACTACAGACCAGTATCCCTTCTTTCTTTTCTTTCCAAAACTATTGAGCGTGCCGTCTTTAGCCAACTCTCTTGCTATCTCTCTCAGAATGACCTTCTTGATCCAAACCAATCAGGTTTCAGGACTGGTCATTCAACTGAGACTGCTCTTCTCTGTGTCACGGAGACTCTCCGCACTGCCAAAGCTAACTCTCTCTCCTCTGCTCTTGTCCTTCTAGACCTGTCTGCTGCCTTTGATACTGTGAACCATCAGATCCTCCTCTCCACCCTCTCCGAGCTGGGCATCTCCGGCGCGGCTCACTCCTGGATTGCGTCCTACCTGACCGGTCGCTCCTACCAAGTGGCGTGGCGAGAAGCTGTCTCCGCACCACGTGCTCTCACCACTGGTGTCCCCCAAGGCTCAGTTCTAGGCCCTCTCCTTTTCTCCCTATACACCAAGTCACTTGGCTCTGTCATATCCTCACATGGTCTCTCCTATCATTGCTACGCTGACGATACACAACTAATCTTCTCCTTTCCCCCTTCTGATAACCAGGTGGCGAATCGCATCTCTGCATGTCTGGCAGACATATCAGTATGGATGACGGATCACCACCTCAAGCTGAACCCTGGCAAGACGGAGCTGCTCTTCCTCCCGGGGAAGGACTGCCCGTTCCATGATCTCGCCATCACGGTTGACAACTCCGCTGTGTCCTCCTCCCAGAGTGCGAAGAGCCTAGGCGTGACCCTGGACAACACCCTGTCGTTCTCCGCCAACATCAAGGCGGTGACCCGCTCCTGCAGGTTCATGCTCTACAACATTCGGAGAGTACGACCCTGCCTTACACAGGAAGCGGCACAGGTCCTAATCCAGGCACTTGTCATCTCCCGTCTGGACTACTGCAACTCGCTGTTGGCTGGCCTCCCTGCCTGTGCCATTAAACCCCTACAACTCATCCAGAATGCCGCAGCCCGTCTGGTGTTCAACCTTCCCAAGTTCTCTCACGTCACCCCCCTCCTCCGCACACTCCACTGGCTTCCAGTTGAAGCTCGCATCCGCTACAAGACCATGGTGCTTGCCTATGGAGCAGTGAGGGGAACGGCACCTCTGTACCTTCAGGCTCTGATCAGTCCCTACACCCAAACGAGGGCATTGCGCTCATCCACCTCTGGCCTGCTGGCTCCCCTTCCTCTGCGGAAGCATAGTTCCCGCTCAGCCCAGTCAAAACTGTTCGCTGCTCTGGCACCCCAATGGTGGAACAAGCTCCCTCACGACGCCAGGACAGCGGAGTCACTCACCACCTTCCGGAGACATTTGAAACCCCACCTCTTTAAGGAATACCTGGGATAGGATAAAGGAATCCTTCAATTGTAAAGTGGTTATCCCACTGGCTATAGGGTGAACGCACCAATTTGTGAGTCGCTCTGGCTAAGAGCGTCTGCTAAATGACGTTAATGTGCCCTTGAGCAAGGCACTTAACCCTAATTGCTCCTGTAAGTCGCTCTGGATAAGAGCGTCTGCTAAATGACTAAAATGTAAATGTAATGTATAGCAGGTACAGAGAGGCCCAGCCTGCTTGCTGGGACAGATGTGCACATTCAGCCTAACATTCAGCTACAATCTGCCCTCACTGCTAGCCTAACATTCAGCTACAATCTGCCCTCACTGCTAGCCTAACATTCAGCTACAATCTGCCCTCACTGCTAGCCTAACATTCAGCTACAATCTGCCCTCACTGCTAGTCTAACATTCAGCTACAATCTGCCCTCACTGCTAGTCTAACATTCAGCTACAATCTGCCCTCACTGCTAGTCTAACATTCAGCTACAATCTGCCCTCACTGCTAGCCTAACATTCAGCTACAATCTGCCCTCACTGCTAGTCTAACATTCAGCTTCAATCTGCCCTCACTGCAAGCCTAACATTCAGCTTCAATCTGCCCTCACTGCTAACCTAACATTCAGCTACAATCTGCCCTCACTGCTAGTCTAACATTCAGCTACAATCTGCCCTCACTGCTAGTCTAACATTCAGCTACAATCTGCCCTCACTGCTAGCCTAACATTCAGCTACAATCTGCCCTCACTGCTAGCCTAACATTCAGCTTCAATCTGCCCTCACTGCTAGTCTAACATTCAGCTACAATCTGCCCTCACTGCTAGTCTAACATTCAGCTACAATCTGCCCTCACTGCTAGCCTAACATTCAGCTTCAATCTGCCCTCACTGCTAGTCTAACATTCAGCTACAATCTGCCCTCACTGCTAACCTAACATTCAGCTACAATCTGCCCTCACTGCTAGCCTAACATTCAGCTACAATCTGCCCTCACTGCTAACCTAACATTCAGCTTCAATCTGCCCTCACTGCTAGCCTAACATTCAGCTTCAATCTGCCCTCACTGCTAGCCTAACATTCAGCTACAATCTGCCCTCACTGCAAGCCTAACATTCAGCTTCAATCTGCACTCACTGCTAGCAAAGCATTCAGCTTCAATCTGCTCTCACTGCTAGCATATCATTAAAGGATAATTTTTAAATGGCATGTTATAGAAGGGTCCAGACACTTGTTTTGGATTTCACTTGTTTTTGAGAAACTTACCCCAAACAGCGATTCACTTCCTCATCCTCGTTGTGCAGTACATGGGAATATAATGTTGAGGATAAAGTTTGAAATTACACATCGAGTACAACATCAAAAGACCTGCATCACTATACTAGTGCTTTTCCGTTTCTAGAAGGACGTATTAAGGGGCATTTTGTTCATGTTTTTTCAGAGCCTCCGTACTGCACAATTAGGATGAGGTGAAGTGAATCGCTGGTAAGGGTACGTTTCTCAAAAACAAGTGAAATCGCAAAAAAAAGTGTATGGACCCTTCTATAAAATGCCATTTATATCAACAATAGAGATTTGGTTATAAAATAACAGCTAACTTCTCCTTTAAGCTTCACTCTACCTTCAATGCTAGCTTAGAATGTAACTACTATCTGCCCTCAATGCAGCCTACCATTCAGCTTCACCCTGTCCTCACTGCAGCCTAGCATTCAGCTTCACTCTGTCCTCACTGCAGCCTAGCATTCAGCTTCACTCTGTCCTCACTGCAGCCTAGCATTCAGCTTCACTCTGTCCTCACTGCAGCCTAGCATTCAGCTTCACTCTGTCCTCACTGCAGCCTAGCATTCAGCTTCACTCTGTCCTCACTGCAGCCTAGCATTCAGCTTCACTCTGTCCTCACTGCAGCCTAGCATTCAGCTTCACTCTGTCCTCACTGCAGCCTAGCATTCAGCTTCACTCTGTCCTCACTGCAGCCTAGCATTCAGCTTCACTCTGTCCTCACTGCAGCCTAGCATTCAGCTTCACTCTGTCCTCACTGCAGCCTAGCATTCAGCTTCACTCTGTCCTCACTGCAGCCTAGCATTCAGCTTCACTCTGTCCTCACTGCAGCCTAACATTCAATCTTCCTAGGGCCAGATGTCATCTTTATATTCAAGTATGTAAACTGTTGCTATTTCCTAGCAGGATTTGGTTAGTTTTATTTAAGGTACACACTCAATATTGCACAACAGTCCCATACTCTCACATGGCACATAGCATTATGCAGTCCAGTGGTTCCCTCTACACATTCCTGTGTGACTCTCCAGCAGCCACGGCTACTTCATCCAGAACGTAGCACAGACCAGAGAGGGAACAGCTAGCCCCAGCTGTGGCCAAACAGGGGGTGAAAAAAGATGGACAGAATACTGAATCCTTTTTCAGGACAACAACAAGAACCCAGGGTGTGGCTCACTTAGGGTTGCAAAGCTACCAGTAATTTACCAAAGTTATCGGAATCAAAAGTAATTTGGATAATTAACAGGTAATCAATGGCAATCTATGGTAACTTTGGTAATTTATACTTGAATAAATACAAATAAATAAAAACATATATATCTAATTAATGAAAAAAAGCTTCTAATCAAAAATGCCACTATTTTCAATCAACTATTCCAACTATTGTCTTTTTTCACAACTGCCACCAGTGTGGCCCCAAAACATTTAAAAACAAAGACATATTGACATGGTAAAATAAATACAAGTGTGTCATTTTTTAAAAGTATATTTCATGCTGAAACCCTCATATTAAAACACAAATGATATTCACTAAGTTGATGGTTAATATTTAGGATAATGTATTACAGCTTTGTCATTCTCAACAACAACAAAAATGAATTATCATTATTTAAATATATTGTACATGTGATAAGGCCACAGATAATTACAGACACGTGTTAATCTGAAGTACCCAAAACGGACACTAGATGTTTATTGCTAAACTTCGAACGTTTCTAGTAATATACCCTCCCTTTACAACCCTAGGCTCACTACACCAACACAACACACTCTCCCCACAGCACCGCTATTCACAATGACAACACATCTATCAGTAGTGTGTGTGTGGGTATGTGTGTGTTTCTGTGCATGTGTGTATTCACAGTGTCAGGTATTAGAATGTAATTCTAAGGTCTAAAAGAGAAGGAGCTGACTGATGCACAACCTTAAACTAAGTCAACACATGACTGGCACTGTTTATTCGTACATAGACAACACAATGAGATCAATTTCTGCAAAGGGGAAAAGGTTAAGGGGGTCTGTGTGAGTGTGTGTGTGTGTGGGGGGGGGTCTTTGTGCATGTGTTTGTTTGGGTGTGTGTATGTGAGAGAGACACACACACACACACACACACACACACACACACACAGCAGACTTGACATGGACCAACAACACCACCACTCTTGTCAAGAAGGTGCAACAACAGCGTCTTTACTTCCTAAGACGGCTGAAGAAATCCTCTCCAAATACTACCGCTGCACTATCAAGAACGTCCTGCCTGGCTGCATCTCGGCCTGGTACGGATATTGCGCCGTCCACGACCGCAAGGCCCTCCAGCGGGTGCTGAAGACGGCCCACTACATCACTGGGGCCGTGTTGCCACCCATCCAGGTCAATCTACTCGAAACGGTGCCTGAGGAAGTCTCACAGTATCATCAAGGACCCCACACACCCCAGCCACGAGCTGTTCACTCCCTTACCATCGGACAGACTTTATTGGAGCATGAGGTCTGATACCAACAGGCTCAGAGACAGTTTCTAACTACAAGCCATCAGACACTTGAACTGGACTAACCACCTGCACTGACTCTCTGCATCTTAGCCACTGGCGTAATGCATTTTTTAAATGCGTCAGCCAGACAGCCACTCACAAAGTATAGACTACTGATCGCTGTTCATGGTGCTGAAATTGCGACATGTCTATGCGGCTGTCTGTCGAATCGATGATAGGCTTTCTGTGGTGGCAGGGCATGTAGCCTATAGCTTTACTTTAGCTAATGGATAAATGTTTATTGGAAGGCCTATTTGATCGTCATTTTTTCATGTTAAGCCTAACATTTCAAGAAGCTATACATGGTGTCACAATGCTGCCATTTAGACTGCTGGCTGGTGGCAATAATGTAATTACTTGTTCAGTAATTAAAGTTGGAAATTCAAACATTACAGATTGTACATTTCATTTTCGATGCAACAGCATACTAATCAGCTACCAATAGTTTTTTTTTTATATATACAACTGTCCTGTATAGCTTACCTGAACCTGCATGACATGAGCAGGATGCGGGCCCGACTGTTTTTTATACTGAGTATTGCCAACCCAGACAGTCTTTCCTGAAACATTGTTTTTTTTCAAGCCCTCAAGAATGGTTGTCCGCCAAAGATGATAATCCGTTTGCATCTGCCAATTTATTGGCTGTCCAGTATCCAGACGACGTGTCCCTAGAGCTTCCTATACAGTTAATCTCTTTCCGTAAAGTGTTGAGGCCGGCAATTAAGGAGAATGAAAGGCTCAATTAAAGATGTTGCAGAACTGCTGTATTTGAAGCACCACTCCATTCTGCCCAGTTTCCCTGATGTTGCTACGGCAATCAAGCTGTTTTTAATCATCCCTGTAACTGCTGCTTTTGCGGGGAGATCGTTTTCTAAACTAAAACTCATAAAGAACTACATAAGAAGCATTAGCCTCTCGGTCTGATATGAGCTTTTGAACACCTGAGTAAGCTCCACTCATTGCACTGGCGCCGTCGTAGCCTTGACCATGGCATTTGTTCACCGATATCCCCTTACTTTCAATCAATTCAATTATTTCTTTTTCAAGCCTGAGGCACTTTTTCAGACACATTCTCGAAGCCCAAGAAACAAACACGTATGAATGACTTTTTGGAGGGTTACCGACAAAATGATTTATTAAATTAAAAAAACTGACATCGATGACAGACACCCAGAGCTCGTGGTCCTCCCCGCTATGACAGTGACCTTAGCCACCATGCACAACTCACACACACCCACACAGATGTACATTCATCCACACACACACATTCATGCTACACACACATCCTAACTGTCCCTTCCTGTATTATACTTATGTTAAAATCTTTATTATATTCTACTGAGTCATTTACCTTATGTTTGTATTCTTATATTTTGTTATTTCTTATTGCTGTTGTATTGTCGAGAAGGAACCTGCAAGTAAGCATTTCGTTGGACAGTGTATATATATCATGTGTATCTCGTACGACTAATCTCTCTTCCTTCCTCTCTCTCTCTCGTTTTAAGTGCTCTAAGGTGGGTTGGAGTTGAAACAGGTGAAGTAGTAGATACAGCATGTTCACTCTGCTTTTACCATAGAGTAAGACTGAATGACTAGAACAACAAAAGTAGGGTTGCAAAATTCTAGGAACTTTCAATAAATTCCCTGGTCTTCCAGAAATCCTGGTTGGAGGTTTCTGCTCATTCCCCCCTGATTCCGGAAAATCTCCAACCAGGATTTCGGGAAACCAGGGAATTTATTGAAAGTTCCCGGAATTTTGCAACCCTAGTCATGAGTGATGATCTAGTATCGAGGAATGGTTCTATGGTCACAGCTATTTGGAACGTGACTATCAGCATGTAACAACACGGCTTACACTAAGCCTGTCACTGACACAATAGGGAAAACGAGAGAGGGAGGGAGAAGGACACGGGAAGAGCGGGAGAGGGAGGGAGAAGGACACAGGAAGAGCGGGAGAGGGAGGGAGAAGGACACGGGAAGAGCGGGAGAGGGAGGGAGAAGGACACAGGAAGAGCGGGAGAGGGAGGGAGAAGGACACAGGAAGAGCGGGAGAGGGAGGGAGAAGGACACAGGAAGAGCGGGAGAGGGAGGGAGAGAGAGAGAGAGAGAGAGAGAGAGAGAGAGAGCAGGTTGTCAGGTTAATGTGAAAGCGGCCAGTGTTGGAGCAGGGGCACAGAAAAAGAGATGAGAAAAAGGGAGAAAAAATGAGAGAAAGTAGAGAGGGAGAGAACAGAGGGAGCCTTCATCGCTGTTGAAAGGGGTGCCCTCTCAACCCCATGCCCTGAACACACATACACACGCACACACACACACACACACACACACACACACACACACACACAAACAAACACACATATGCACGCGCGTGCACGCACACACACAGACACCATCCACACCCTTTGCCAGGAGGATCAATCGCAGCATTCATCCAGGCCCCAGCCCAGTCTGTCCGTTCCATCCTAGCCCAGGTTACATACCATGGATAGCTGTTCAGGAGGAGCCCCTCTGGGTGTCCAAACATACAGACCTACCGGAGCTCACATTCACAGCAGCTGCAACTCTCCTTTATACTGGGCCTATCAGTTACACACACCGTGCATCACAGAGGCACAGGCAAAGGTTGACCGACACACACCCCCACACACACGCGCATACACACACCTGTCTTTGAAGGCCTTCTCTCCCATCTCTCTGGCTGCTCTGCGGATGTCCTCGGGGATAGCATCTATCTCAGCCTTGGACAACTGGTGCACCTTGTGACCCGCATCTAAACGGTAGGGTCCCCCTTTGCCACCTAGGCCAGCCGTGTCTCTGCCCCCTACAGGACAAATAGAAGTATTACACATCACAGATGCACAGGGACACACACATTTTATTGCATATTTTATTGCCTGTTACTACTATCATCTGACCCAAAGTGTTGACCCACCTGTACCCCCGGCCCACTGGTTGCCCCCTACATGGGGGTCGTTTTTGGGGTCCACCTTGCCGTGTTTGGGGGCTGTCACATCCAGACCACTGTCCCTCTGGACGGTAATCTGAGAGAGAGAGAGAGAGAGAGAGAGAGAGAGAGAGAGAGTACGAGAGAGAGAGAGAGAGAGAGAGAGAGAGGGGGGAGAAAGGGGGAGAGAGAGGCGAGAGGGGGAGAGAGAGAGAGGGAGAGAGAGGGAGAGAGAGAGAGGGGGGGAGAGAGAGAGACAGAGAGACAGAGAGAGGGGGGTATTGAAGAGAAGGAGGGAGAAGGAGAGAGAGAGGAGGTGGAAGGGTACTCTTATGCCCGGTTCAAAAACACCCCCTATCCCAAACCCTCTTCAGCTGCAGACATGTTTCCACCAGAACTCTATCAGTATGCAGTACACAGTAACACACAGTGCCACATCTCAGAGTACTCTCTTTCATTCAGCTAGAGATGGAGAGAATGTGCAATGTATCTCTCTTCTCTTTCACTGAAGACAGGATGGACAGAACAGGCTCTGTATCCATCCAGCGGAGAGGGGGAGGAGGAGGAGAGAGGTCAGGGCCCCTAACATTTGAGTTCCCGCTCAGTGACACTCTCTCAGCCAAGAGCTCACACACACACTCTTGCGCGCTGCTCACACACTCTCTCTTGTTCACACTCTCCTCTCTGCCAAGATCACACATACACTCTGGCTAAGTCAAGATCACAGTCTTGGAAGCCAGGTGCCATGACACTGACTAAGGTGTGGATTCAGCTCAGAATCTTATAGCAATTTGACAACTGATGTGTCCAAATCAAATGTTCTCATATAATCTGACTAGCATGATATAATTTTTCCTTGAATAAGTAAGGATTTGACCGTTACTCCCCTTTGTGTGTGTGTGTGTGTGAGGTGTTTTGATGTTGTTGTAGTGTTTTTGCTGTATCATGGAGTGAGCCGTTGAAAGTGTTTATTCAGCCTAATCTGAGAGGAACATTCGCCTAGCTGGACCCCACCCTCTTTCCACTGACCAACACCCACCTTTTCAACTGTCCCTATGGCATCTAGTTCCGACCCTGTCATTCTGTGTACAAGGAGTCTGAATGTCTAGCTCAGTTGGTAGAGCATGGCACTTGCAACGCCAGGATAGTGGGTTCGATTTCCGGGACCACCCATACGTAAAATGTATGTAGGCGCGACTGTACGTCGCTTTGGATAAAAGCGTTTGCTAAATTGCATATATTATTATTGCAAATATTACATTCCATATTTAGCTACATAGAGTCTGCTGTGTATTAGAGGCTCTACAATGTGACACACTCTCTAGCAGAGCCCTATGGGCTGAGCCCAGGGTTCAGTCTATCAGCTGATCTCTATATATAGGGCAGATTATACAGCTAAGCCTGATATGACTCATTAGTTATTGTATCAGAGAGCGATAAGGCCATATGTCTGCTCTGTTATACAGGAGTGTCTGTGTATACAACTGCAGGAGAGAGAGAGAGTGTGTGTGTGTGTGTGTTTCATGCACGTGCCATGAGGAAAAGGGTCAAAGGTTAGAGGTGACTAACGAACGTCATAGAAGAACTCTTAGGACATCTATCCTGTTACACACGTGTGTGTGTGGGTGTGTGTGGGTGTGTGCACTCACATGGTTGTAGCAGACCTGCATACCTGCCCCATACATGGAGATGGGTGCATTCTGTGTGCCACCCCCACATGTGAACACACACCCACATGTGAACACACACACACACGTGTACACACACACGTGTACACACACACACACACACACACACACACACACACACACACACTGTTCATGTTCATCATGTGGCTCGTTGTCCTTCACCCAGTAAGTTTGAGCCCCAGTTTCTTTGGCATGGTACACTTTCTTATGCCCTATCAGTTAACTGCACCTGCGTTCTTCCTACAGCAATCAATTCAATGCTATTTCTGTTGTGTTTTTGCAGACACACATTTATCACAAAGTGCTTTCTAGCAACCCGGCCCTAAACCCATAAAACGCTAGAGGTGGCAGTGGCAAAGGAAAACCTTCAGAGGAACTAGACTTCAGAAGGGGACACCCATAGAAATATAATTACATATAATTATAAATTAGAAGCATTTCTATGGGGACACCATCGAGGTGGAAATATAGGCTGGGAGTGATCATTGCCTGTAAGAGGTGAAAGGTGGCGAGCACGTGTCTCCATTTTGATGCATCAGCATCTGTAAAGGGAGACTGACTGACTGGGACTCCATTCTGGCTCATAAGCATCTGTAAAGGGAGACTGACTGACTGGGACTCCATTCTGGCTCATCAGTGTCAGTAAAAATGTGTCCGAGCATGACTCATTTTGAGTCACCAGTGTCAGTAAACCAGTGACATGCGTGACTTATAGACGCTATACAGTAAATCACTAGCACCCGTATAACGGCGACTAATGGTGCATGCGTCTCCATCTTGGGTCGTGTGTGCCTGTAGAGGCTGACACATGTGCCTCCATTCCGGCTACCGCTGCTGTGAGTAAGGGGTGAATCAGCGGTTTACTGGGCCGCAGCTGCAGTGTGTGTGTGGTCACTTCCCCTCACTCCCACTGCTCAAATTACCCCTTGGCCAAGCGGAAGAGAGAGAGCCCAAGAGAGCCTAACAGGTGGTACCGGCCCAAAATACATCTGATCTATCTGGACCTGCTACCAAACCTACACTAGAGCATTCCTACCAAACTGCAGTGGCAGCACAAGCTAAGAAACATTTAAGATATACACATTTCGGTAGGATGTTGCCTTATCCATAGGATGCTTGTGTATGTCCTCTCCCCTGCCAGGTATGGTGTGAGTAGCTGTGTTTGGCTAACAGTTTAGAGGAGGGTTAATAAGCAACAGCAAACAACCTTTTAACACCTCTGTTTACTCCTATAGAGATACACTATGGGTTGTCAGGGGAGCTCTGGCATCCCCAAGACAGACACTATTGGGTGAAACCATTTTGTTCTGGTGATTTAGTTTTCTCATAATATTTTCTGCATTGAAATGACTGGGATTTCTGAGGATAGGGAGGGATGGTCGAATTCCATTCTTCGCCAGTATCCAGTCAACATCCCTGGCATGGGGGAAGGAAGTTAAGGGTAGGACTAGGGGGGAGGGAGAGGGAGATCATCTCATAGAAAGATCTCTCGAGAAGAGAGAGAGAGAGCAGAGAAGAGAGAGAGAAGAGAGAGGATAGAGCAGAGAGAGCGATAGAGCTAGAGAGAGAGAGAGCAGAGAAGGAGAGAGAAGAGAGCGAGACGCTAGACGAGATCGAGCATGGATCGTCGTAGAGCAAGAGAGATACTCTTCATCTCCTCATCTCTCTCTCTCTCTCTCTCTCTCTCTCTCTTCGCTCTTCTCTCTCTCTCTCTCTCTCTCTCTCCCTCTTCCATCCCTCCCTCCGATATTAATAGGCTCATAACTTTCTGCAGACGCCCACAGATGGTTTATGGGGCATGAGCTGTGGCGACAACACAACGTCAGTACAGATATCATTGACTGGTATCGTGTAGATATATGCAAGTGTGTGTGTGTGTGTGTGTGTATGTGTGTGTGTGTTGGGAACCAGTGTATACCTGTGGATACAAGACCTTTCTAACAAAACTGTGTGTTGATGGATGTGGTGCGTGTGTGTGTGTGTTGATGGGTGATTTCAGAAATGGTGCAACGGAGAAATGTCAGAAAGAGACACTACACCATCTTCACTACAGCGTGGTTGGACATGGGCAGCAGATGCTTCAGAGAACACATACACACACAGCCAATACCTCACCTACACACACATTGCATGTGTGTGGGAGAAGTCTTGGCTGTGTGTGAATAGGGCCATTATGAGGTCATAATGAACTGTCATCTATAGATGCGGTAAAGAGGTCAATGGAATTCGACCAAAACAATGGAAATGCCATGGAAACGTGTGGGGGAAAGATACCGAATCTCCTCATTGCCCCCCAGCAAAATTAGGCTACATTTAGGCTATTGTATATTTAATATTTTAGTCATTTAGCAGAAGCTCTTATCCAGAGCCACTTACAGGAGCAATTAGGCTTAAGTGCCTTTCTCAAGGGCACATCGACAGATTGCTTAAATGTGTATTTCACACTATGTTGAGGTAAAAATCTGAGTATAATGCTTGTATGGATGTCAACCCCAATACATGTTCATGTCATCACCAATCAACTGCATTACAGCTAAAAACAACTTGGACTACCACCACTGATTTCTGTATGCTAGCTATGCTACCAGCTTATACGAATGTGAGTTAGCATTTAGCAGTCACTTCTTTTAAACCTCTAAATGTTGTGCAGTGAAAACAGCCAAATATACCCAAACCCCCCAAAAAACACCAACTCAGACGTACGTAAATTTCAACAAACATTTATGACATCATACTAGCTCAAACCTACATGTTCCCACAGTATCCATACCCATCTTGTTTGTTCTCATAATAAAAAATGTCTCATTGTTCATCCTTTGGATATTTCTAGGGCTTGTAATACTTTATGCCCCATGGTTTGCATTCCATTGACCTCTTTACCGCATCTATCTCTCCCCCATCAATGGAAAACAGTAGTGCTCTTCCCTAATTAAACACTGTCTATCAGTGTGTGTGTGTGTGTGTGTGCAAGTATCCGTCTCTCGGCGCCTATACATCAAAGCTGTGGAATGTCAGCCTTTGTCCTCATACCAACTAGCAGACACTGATATGGCGGCCATCCATTGATAACTGTAGTCAATTCATAGAATCTCTTATACAGTATTATCAGTGTCAGATCATATTACTTTTTGCTTCCTTGTCCCCTTTAGTTAGCCTGGTTAAAATGGCAGCACTGCAATAAGGCAGTTGGCCAATCCTGAGCTGGTAGCTATAGAGTTCCACAGCTATGTGGTCATTGGACAGATATTGTCATTGTGACCAGAGAGGGTTAAAGGTCAGATTTGTCGCTCTACCCAGGACGTCCTGATCCTGGTCTGAAGGGACACAGGGCTCACATTCACTCCAGCTGTGTGTGTGTGTGTGTGTGTGTGTATGTGTGTGTGTGTGTGTGTGTGTGTGTGTGTGTCATATCCTCACATGGTCTCTCCTATCATTGCTACGCAGACGACACACAATTAATTTTCTCCTTTCCCCCTTCTGATAACCAGGTGGCGAATCGCATCTCTGCATGTCTGGCAGACATATCAGCGTGGATGTCGGATCACCACCTCAAGCTGAACCTCGGCAAGACGGAGCTGCTCTTCCTCCCGGGGAAGGACTGCCCGCTCCATGATCTCGCCATCACGGTTGACAACTCCATTGTGTCCTCCTCCCAGAGTGCAAAGAACCTTGGCGTGACCCTGGACAACACCCTGTCGTTCTCCGCTAATATCAAAGCTGTGACCCGATCCTGCAGGTTCATGCTCTACAACATTCGCAGAGTACGACCCTACCTTACACAGAAAGCGGCACAGGTCCTAATCCAGGCACTTGTCATCTCCCGTCTGGATTACTGCAACTCGCTGTTGGCTGGGCTCCCTGCCTGTGCCATTAAACCCCTACAACTTATCCAGAACGCTGCAGCCCGTCTGGTGTTCAACCTTCCCAAGTTCTCTCATGTCACCCCGCTCCTCCGCACACTCCACTGGCTTCCAGTTGAGGCTCGCATCTACTACAAGACCATGGTGCTTGCCTACGGAGCTGTGAGGGGAACGACACCTCCTTACCTTCATGCTCTGATCAGACCCTACACCCAAATGAGGGCACTACGTTCATCCACCTCTGGCCTGCTAGCTCCCCTACCTCTACGGAAGCACAGTTCCCGCTCAGCCCAGTCAAAGCTATTCGCTGCTCTGGCACCCCAATGGTGGAATAAGCTCCCCCACGACGCCAGGACAGCGGAGTCACTGACCACCTTCCGGAGACACTTGAAACCCTACCTCTTTAAGGAATATCTGGAATAGTATAAGTAATCCTTCTACCCCACCCCCCTCCCCCACAACATTTTTTAAAAAGAAAAGTGGTTGTCCCACTGGCTATAAGTTGAATGCACCAATTTGTAAGTCGCTCTGGATAAGAGCGTCGGCTAAATGATGTAAATGTAATAAAAATATATAAATAAAATGTAAATGACCAGAAGTCCCCACAAGAATAATAAACTAAACATTTTTTGACCAACTGGGGATATTTTGTTAGTCCCCACGAGGTCAAATGCAATTTCTAGGGGGTTTAGGGTTAAGGTTAGAATTAGTGTTAGGGTTAGAATTACGTTAAGGGTTAGGATTAGGAGCTAGGGTTTGTTTTAGGGTTAGGGTTAGGAGCTAGGGTTAGGGTTAAGGTTAGGTTTTTGGGTTAAGGTTAGGGTTAGGGTTGAGGTTAGGGTAAGGGTAAGAGTACAGGTTAGGGTTAGGGTTAGGGAAAATAGGATTTTGAATGGGACTGAATTGAAAGGTTAGCTGTACAAGACTGTGTGTGTGTGTGTGCGTGCGTGCGTGCGTGCATGCGTTTGTGCATGCGTGTGACTGTGTGTGTGTATGTTTCGGCCAGAAACGTTTGATAGTGTGTGTGAATGTGTGTGTAGCCATGTTATAGAGCAACGTGTTTGAGTAAGTACAGGGGAAGAGAGTTTTCATGTGTGTAGACAGATAAAATACCTCTCAGCCATGTTCAAGAGGAGGCCCGCTGTTTGCAGACGGCATAGTGAGCCTCAAGTATAGTGAGGCTGCATGTGTGTTTTCAGAAGGCATAGTGAGTCAGTGTGTGTGTGTGAGTGTGTGTGTGTGTGAAGGTAAAGGCAGACAGAGAGCATAGGGAAAGTGTGTGTTTGAAGGGCCATGCTGTATGTGCTCAAGGTGGCCATCAAAGAACACCATTAGACGGAGGAATCTAGCCTAAGAGAGGGGCTCTCACATCTGAAGAGCCCTGTTTGTGTGTGTGTGTGCGTGTGTGTGTGCGTGTGTGTGTGTGTGTGTGTGTGTGTGTGTGTGTGTGCGCGTGTGTGTGTGTGTGTGCGCATGCACCTGTGACCTGAGAGAAGCTTTGTGTACCTATTTCGTTTGCATTAGCAAACATAAGTCTGGACTAGTGCTCTTCATTCCCGGTCCTTAGTTAATCAGGTGTGCGATTGTGCGTTCACTCCAGCCTTCAAGACCATATGACGAGGTTTGCACTTTTGGGACTATCCCATTGGTTCCATTGTACAAAAAGTATTTGACTTGTATTTGACCCAAGTCTATGACATACCACATCATATATCTGCCACTGTGTCCCTGTCTATACTCACCACCCAAGCCAGGTCAACTCCATTACATCAGTGCTACAATCATACTTAACATACTTCACATTATACCCATTAACAAAGAAAGACCAGTGATGACCTGTCGCTCATTCACAAAGACTACAACTGGAGGAATGTGAGAGAGAAATACATTTCCCTCAGGGCTCTCTAACTAGTGTTCCACACAGGGTTGCAGCCTCCAGGACTGTTTGTGGTTCAGCAACACTCTACACTGAGTGTACAAAATTGCTATTTCCATGACATAGACTGACCAGGTGAATCCAGGTGAAATCTATGATCCCTTATTGATGTCACTTGTTATATCCAATCAGTGTAAATGAAGGGGAGGAGACAGGTTAAAGAAGGATTTTTAAGCCTTGAGACAATTGAGGCATGGATTGTGTATATATGCCATTTAGAGGGTGAATGGGCAAGACAAACTATTTAAGTGCCTTTGAACGGGGTATGCCAGGCACCCCGGTTTGTGTCAACTGTGGGAAGCATTGGAGTCAACATGGGCCCGACGAATTGAGGCTGTTCTGAACGCAAAGGTGGGGGGGGTGGGGGGGGTTGTTCTTACCATTTTGTACACTCATTGTATAATATACAATGTTGTGTCACAAATATTCACCCTTATAATGGTGAATATTTGTGACACAACATTGCCTCCTGGTTGTGACAATAGGGACTACAGGATGTAGGCTGCAGTTTTAGTTTTCAGAACATTGAAGGATACAGATACAGGCTACTACTGCTACATTTAACAGGATTTGTACAATCTTAAAGTCAACTCTATTCATTATATTTCTATATATCAACAAGTTCAGAACATTTCACCTCACTGAACCATTCCCAGTCCTACCTGTATGGGCCTGCTGTCCTCTGAGCCAATCATGGTCCTCCATTCCAGCAGGGAGCGCTGCAGGTTGTCCAATCCTGTTTCCCAGAGCCGCACGTACCCGCCCATATCCACCGTGACCACGCCCCCTGAGCCCAGACCGGCCAATAGCACGTCAGTGTCGGACACCTTCGAAATCCACGTTGTGTAAGGAGAGACACTCAGAGACCTGTCAATCAGATGAAACAACAAATTAGAGAGAGAGGGGGCAAGACAACTAACCAATCCGATGAGAGGGTTCGTGTAAACCAGAGGATGGCGGAGACACAGTATGCTTTAACATTTCAACTTCTCCCAATCCCAAATCCACTCTAGCCCCTCGACACTTTGTAGATCGGAAGGGATTGGATAGGTATTCTCTGTGAAAGTGACGGCCACTTCCTTATGTTTCCCATGCTGTTTTGAACGGGCTTCACGATTATATCATCAAATTAATGAAATGACTTACGCGGTCATTTAAGATATATACAATTATATTCGTCTTTGTGGATGAATTAACTTTTACCAGATACCTTTTATGAAGTTTTTGTGCTTGAAGAACATTGCGCTACGTTTTCACTCATTGAAAACCATAAAAAAAACTACAAAAGTTGAAAAACAACAAGGTTGAGGGGCAGTCACTTCCTGGTTACTTAGCAACATACGTAGCTCAACCTTGACCTCTGACAGACTAGGTGGAATTCTCACCATATTGCTTATACCTATCCAATCCTTTCAGATCCACATATGTGTATAGGGAGGTAGGGGCTATGTATGTGTGGATTTGGGATAGTGTGCTACCAGAGTCCATATATACCTTGGGACAGGAATATACTTCAGCTTCTTGGAGTTCAGGTCAGTCACCTCCAGGTAGGCAGCGGTCATCGGGGGTGTAACGTCTGTGTGACACAAACGTACAAACACCCACACACACACGCACACACAAACAAACAAATTATTGAGTATCCCAGGTTAAGGGTATGAATCAGACTCAGTTGTCTCTACACCAAAGTCAGCTATGTTATTGTACAGTGAAGCTCTGACCTGGGGGGAAGATGTATTTCAGTTAGTTATGTTATTGTACAGTGAAGCTCTGACCTGGGGGGAAGATGTCTTTCAGTTAGTTATGTTATTGTACAGTGAAGCTCTGACCTGGGGGGAAGATGTCTTTCAGTTAGTTATGTTATTGTACAGTGAAGCTCTGACCTGGGGGGAAGATATCTTTTAGTTAGTTATGTTATTGTACGGTGAGGCTTTGACCTGAGGGGAAGATGTCTTTCAGTTAGTTATGTTATTGTACAGTGAGGCTCTGACCTGGGGGGGAAGATATCTTTTAGTTAGTTATGTTATTGTACGGTGAGGCTTTGACCTGGGGTAAAGATGTCTTTCAGTTAATTAAGTTATTGTACAGTGAGGCTCTGACCTGGAGGGAAGATGTCTTTCAGTTAGTTATGTTATTGTACGGTGAGGCTCTGACCTGGGGGGAAGATGTCTTTCAGTTAGTTATGTTATTGTACGGTGAGGCTCTGACCTGGGGGGAAGATGTCTTTCAGTTAATTAAGTTATTGTACAGTGAGGCTCTGACCTGGAGGGAAGATGTCTTTCAGTTAGTTATGTTATTGTACGGTGAGGCTCTGACCTGGGGGGAAGATGTCTTTCAGTTAGTTATGTTATTGTACGGTGAGGCTCTGACCTGGGGGAAGATGTCTTTCAGTTAATTAAGTTATTGTACAGTGAGGCTCTGACCTGGAGGGAAGATGTCTTTCAGTTAGTTATGTTATTGTACGGTGAGGCTCTGAACTGGGGTAAGATGTCGTTCAGTTACGTTATGTTATTGTCGGTGAGGCTCTGAACTGGGGGCGGAAGATGTCTTTAAGTTAGTTATGATTGTACGGTGCGGCATCTGACCTGGGGGGAAGATGTCTTTCAGTTAGTTTTTGTTAGTGTACGGTGAGGCTTCTGACCTGGGGGGGAATATGGTCTTTTCAGTGGAATTTAAGTGATTTGTACGGTGAGGCTCTGACCCGGAGGGCAAGATGTCTTTCAGTTAGTTATGTTATTGTACGGTGAGGCTCTGACCTGGGGGGAAGATGTCTTTCAGGGGCACCTGTCCAGGTGGGAGGGCCCGAACCACCTGATTGGCCGACAGCAGACTGACACAGTTGGTCCGTTTGGCCACGCTGGATTTCAGCCCGCCCCGGAAGAACATTTGACCTCCCGAATCCCCGCCCCTCATCTCTGATAGGTCCATGTCCCTCTTAAAGCTGTACACCTCATTAGGAGACTACAGTGCAGGAAGAGAGAAACAACAAAGCGATTCTAACTTCACATCTCTAATCAAAAGTCATGACATCTTTATTCAAAAGTCATGATATCCCTTATTAAAAGTAATTATATCTCTCATCAAAAGTCCTCATATACTGTATATCTCTATCCAAAAGTCAAGATATTTCTCATCAAAAAGTATTGATAGCTATAAACAAAAACTAATGAAATCTCGAATGAAAGGTCCCAGTACTATCTCTAATTGATCGATATACGCTGGTCTCTCACCATGAGGTCAGGGAAGCCCACTATGATGCGTGCGTAGGAGGAGGTGTCAGAGAGGAGGCGGTTGGGAGAGACTATCTTCTGACCCAGGGCTGCACTCAGGTTCTCATTAGGCAGCTGGTCACTACCCACTGTCTGGGGTACACACACCTCACCTGGAGAGAGAGAGGAGGGGGGGGGGGGGGGGGGGGGGGGGGGGGGATGGGGAGGAGAAAGAAAGTTGAGGACGGGTATGGACATAGTGTCCGGGACATTAAATGACTCATGTCCTCACCTTATATGTTGAGTGTTCTGTTGTGTTACCTGAGCTGGCTCCATGGCCGGTGCTGACGCCGTCCTCACTGACGCTGTGTAGCTGACATACCCCAGAGTCCTCTGCTCCCATGTGCATGGGTTTGGTCAGCAGGAACTTCCTGTAAGCACAAACACCATCCCACTCCGATGAATGAGGATAGAAAAAGAGCAGAGGAGAAGAGAAGAAATGAGAAGAGAAAAGATAAGAAGAGGAAAGAAGAAGTAAAGGAGAGGATGAATTACTTGTTGGTGTTGCTCTCCACCAGTAGCCAGCGATCCTCTGCCACCAGAAAGACCTTGCTGAGGTTGATGGGGAGGGAGATGGTATGAACCCGGCCCTCCAGCACATCCAGCACATCCAACTGGTTACTACAGCAACACAGGAGGGACACACTTCACTTTACAGTTTCCAAAAAGCAAAGGGGAAGGAGGTAGCGTAGCAATGAGCTGAGCTTACCCGCCCTCTTTGTAGAACAGGAGCCAGTTCTTGTGGGCAAACTCCCGGCACATCTTATGACCTCCCTAAAAAAAAACATTCTGGATTACGTAGTGTACAGTACACAGGTGACAACCTGTTTTGTTGTCTCAAGTCATTGTTCTGTTAGAGAGATATTCACAAAAAAACATCTACGCATGTATGACATACTGTATGTTGTGTATGTGGTATATCATGTATGACTATATCTTGTGAATTTTGTTGTACAAGTGGTATAAATGAAGTGGTCAGATGGCCGAATGCAGTTTCAGTGGGTATGAGACCTCAAATATTAAATGAGAATGATGTGTCTGTGTCCCTCTGACCTGTGTCTCCTTGCTGCTGCTGCTCCACCAATTGGAAGCTTTGGGGGCGGGCTGTTCTGTCTCCTGTGACAGCATGAGTCTCCTCACCGCTCCTGTTAATACGTCTAGATGTAATACTGTGTTACTCTGAGAGAGAGGAGAGAGGAGAGAGAGAGAGAGAGAGAGAGGAGAGAGAGAGAGAGAAGAGAGAGAGAGAGAGGAGAGATAGCATACTTGGTTAGAAAGAGCAGTAAAACATCAGATTAATTCATCCATTCACACCCCAGTCACCAGAGGGCGCCACTATCCAGTGTTAATCTTCCACTACAGTCAGTAGTCGCTGTGCGTGCGTGTCTGCGTGCGTGCGTGTAAGAGTGTCTCGCTCAGCTAAGCCAAGGCTTTTATTCACGACGCACACTGCTTAATCTTCAGTTCACTTTTTATGGGGAAAGCCAAGGGGCAGGGGAAGAGCAATCCCAGTACTAACCCCTCCCTCTACTCTACTGTAATAGCTTCCTTATGGCATAGCTCCTTGAACTCTGATATATATATATATATATATAGAAACCAAGTGTCACTCTTTGAGAGTTGGTGCTGGAGTGTGTGTGTGCATGCATGTGTGTGTTCTGGCTAGCTGACAGTGTTCCATTAAAAACATTTATTTCTTGTTTAATTTTTTCTCCCCTGAGAGAGCCATGACCTCTGTATAACCTCTGTTATGATGTCTGGAGTTCTGTTTTTTTTCGGACAGGAGAAATTATATACTATCACTCACTTTCTATCTTTCTTTCTGTTTTCCTCTCCTCTCCAAAACCAGGGTATTTCTCTTCTGATATGTAAAAGCTGTATAACAATTTGTGTTATGAAAGCGTATACAGTATGTGCATATTTAGCAGTTTGCAGTCATCTCTCATAGTCTGGAACTATATGAGGTGTGTGTGCGCTTGTCTGTGGGTTCTCCCCTACCTGTTCCTCATGTAGCACCACCTGCCCCTCCAGTGGGCTGCCCAGGGCAGCGACAGTCACAAAGGGCTGCCAGACTCCACTGATGGTCCTGGGGAAGACATCATACAGTTCCATACACTGGACTGTGTCTCCGTTCTCCTTCATCACAAACAGGCACACCGGGTTACACGTAGCCATGTAGATCGCATCTGAAACAGAAAGGAGTGTGTGTTAGTGTGTGGAGGGGGTGGGGGTTGTGTGTATTCTTGTTCTCTCATTGCGTGCAGACACACTGGGTTACGTGTAGCCACTTAGATTGCGATGTGTGTGTGTGCTGTGTTTAAATGCATGTGTGTGGTGTGTGTATGTATCTCCTACCGTTGTTGGTGGTGACGTCACAGACTATGTTGACTTCGTTCATGGGGATCTGCCAGGTAGCTTTCTCCTCGGTGAAGCTCAGAGCTCTGGACTCATGCCTCTCACAGGGGTAGCCCTGCACACGTAGGAACACTGGCCCCTACACACACACACAAGTGCACAAAGTCAAGGGTACAAATCGATGGCCCTGTCTAGAAACCTCTAGCCACTATGCACTTCATAAACTGTGTGTGTGTGTGTGTTAGTACCTTTATATCGATGGGGTGCGTCTCTGTAGGGCAGAGCAGTTTGCGCCGGGCATTCCCCTCCTGGTTGGTGGTCCAGTAGCCAGACATCCTGACCTCTGGGAGGGGTAGCCTAGGAGGTAGTGGGAGAGGTCACATGTCATTACCATGACAACAACACACAGCACCATCAGAAAGGTGTGCAGGACTCTTAGGATACATCTCAATTAAGCCCTATTCCCTAAAGTACACATAGGGCTCTGAGACTGACTGAAACTAAGTGCACTACATGTATATAGGGTAAAGTGTAGTATCGTACAGGACTTGAGTAAAAAGATATGGGGTGCATCTCGATCCATCTTTCCTCGTCTTCTCTCCCTCATCTGCACTAATCTGAAAAAACAGACTAGGGGAAAGCAATAGGCCTACAATAAGTTTTGCGTTTTGTGTAGTCTGTGTATAAATAGCATTTTGTGTAGTCTGTGTATAAATAGTGTGTGTGTCTGGCTGACCTCCATTGTTGTGTCTGTCCAGATCTTCTATGGAAACCCACACTTTCCCATGAATCACTGCTGGGTTTAGGCCACCGGCCACGGTGTAATAGGTTACAGGTGGGATGTAAGAAACAACACCACAATATACCAAAACACCAGGAACTGTCCAACTTAATATAAATCATCCTAGAACGCATTATACAACGTGTCTAGTAACTGTTTGTCCCAATTTGGACTGCTCAAGTTCAAAGAGTAGAGATATTTACTTTGATACAACTGGGCAAAATAGATTGTGGGAGGTTATTCCATGTATAGGCTATTTCCTATTTTAGATTGCGACCAAAGCATTTGTATTTAATAAATATGGGAAATTGAATATGACAATGCGGTACACACCAGGGTTGGGCTCAATAACATTTTGGAATTGACTCCCATTCAACTCATGAATTGAAATTTGAATTGGCCCCACCCCACAGGATGTAGAATTTGAATGACAGGAAGTAGAATTCAAAGAAATTCCACTCAGTCATAGAACATGAGTTTCATTGAATCGAACAGGTCACACTTCCAGATACCAAAGAATATATCGCTTTTCTATGGAAACAATGTTCATATACTCTTTTAACCTTAGTGCTTAGAATAGCCTATTATATTTCCACCAACCATTTCATTTGTTTGGCTTCTTTTTGAAGGCCTCAGGGTGAACTTGAGTGTTAAACTAATGCACTCTGGAAAGTGTTTCATGAAATATAATAACGTTTAATATTTGCATACAGTTTTTGTTTCCTTGATCATTCATTTTAAGAGTTTGTCCTGAAAATCTATTGTTTCAACAATATTTTATATGCATGTTTATAACATGTTTGATGTTTTCTGTACAAGATGTATATTTGTATAGACTACACCTAATATAGAAGAGGCATTTGAATTTCACTGAATTCAATTATATTTCCTTTTATTCAAATTGCAATTCTGTATCCTATTTAGTACTTCAATTAAAATGTAATTACAATTCAAGAATTTAATTGGAATTTATGATGCATTCTCAATTCAATTCTGAATTGAGCCCAACCTTGGTACACATGCTTGTTTGGTGTTAAGTTGCCATGCTAGGAATCAGATTGCCTTACAGTACCTGTAGACAGCCTTAGTTATAGCACATCTAACCTAGTCTATTAAACATAATCATATCATACCAATGTAGACTCATCATGTAAGGAAAATACTTGTTTCTTCCCTGTTTGGCCCTCAAGATTGTTCTACTTGAGGATTATAAAAGAAAACTTCACAAAAACAGGGTTTATAATGAAAAACAGGAGACAGAAGAAACAAATATTTTCCTTTATTAAAACCTATACATTTATGATGAGGTGGAATATAATCTTAAATGAATCCTTACCTGTCTTTCTAATGAATTTAGGAAATACTTAATGTATTCAGAATAGAGGAATATTGAGATGGTAAAAACAGAATACATTCATACCTAAAACATTAATAAAAAAAATCGGACTAAATCAATTTCAGTTTAAGCCAAGTGACACACACAACTGTACAACTGTATAGGTAGATACATATAACAGTATATACATACTGTATAACCAACCATCAATGGTGGCCGGTAGTGAGTGGTTATGCTTGCGAGGCACAGTAGACAGTTACTAATCTACGATAGCAGACATGTGTAGGGACAAGTAAATGGACTATCCATGCTATCCTCATTGACCTGGGGGAGGTACATTGTCAGTATATGGTCATGTCTAGGGGGTGTGTAATCTTATTAGAAAGCTAGCGGCAAGTGGCTTGTCCATTGAGTGTATTTTTAGTGACCTATTGAAGGTAACCCCTCTCTAGTGAGGTACACTGATCGTGTCACAGTCACAGTGTCTGACCACAACTCAATCCCCATCTCATGTGACCACACGCACCATGGCCCTCCCTGCCTTCCTCACTACTCTTCCCATTCCTCTCTTCCTCTTTCTATGTATCTGTTCTGGCTTAGGGTGCCAGTGTATGCTAGGCCAGGGTGTGTGTACGGTTGGTGATTCTCCGGTGGTCACGGGGTCTTACTCCTTGGCCAGGTGGACACTGCTGGGCTTGGCTCCGATGGGAATGCCGTGCTTGTGCAGCGCTTCGATCAGTACCTCCCGCGTGTCCTTGTTGTAAGAGTCAAAGTCAAAGACGTTGCGCACCACGTTGGCCAAGCCCTCGTCTGGGAATCTCTGTATGGTGAGTGATAGGGGGAGAGAGAGAGGGGAAAGAAAGAGGGGGGAAGAAATTGAGAGAGAGATAGACATATACAGTACCAGTCAAAAGTTTGGACACACCTACTCATTCAAGGGTTTTTCTTTTTTTGACTATTTTCTACATTGTAGAATAGTAGTGAAGACTTCAAAACTATGAAATAACACATATGGAATCATGTAGTAACCAAAAAAGTGTTAAACAAATCAAAGTATATTTATATTTGAGATTCTTCAAATAGCCACCCTTTGCCTTGATGACAGCTTTGCACAGTCTTGGCATTCCCTCAACCAGATTCATGAGGTAGTCACCTGGAATGCATTTCAATTAACAGGTGTGCCTTGTTAAAAGTTAATTTGTGCACTTCTTTCCTTCTTAATGCATTTGAGCCAATCAGTTGTGTTGTGACAAGGTAGGGGTGGTATACAGAAGATAGCCTTATTTGGTAAAAGACCAAGTCCATATCATGGCAAGAACAGCTCAAATAAGCAAAGAGAAACGACAGTCCATCATTAGTTTCTTCAAGTGCAGTTGCAAAAACCATCAAGCGCTATGATGAAACTGGCTCTCATGAGGACCGCCACAGGAAAGGAAGAACCCATAGTTACCTCTGCTGCAGAGGATAAGTTCATTAGAGTTACCAGCCTCAGAAATTGTAGCCCAAATAAATGCTTCACAGAGTTCAAGTAACAGACACATCTCAACATCAACTGTTCAGAGGAGACTGCGTGAATCAGGCCTTCATAGTAGAATTGCTGCAAAGAATCCACTACTAAAGGACACCAATAAGAAGAAAAGACTTGCTTGGGCCAAGAAACACGAGCAATGGACATTAGACCGGTGGAAATCTGTCCTTTGGTCTGATGAGTCCAAATGTGAGATTTTTGGTTCCAACCGCCGTTTCTTTGTGAGACGCATGTGTGGGTGAACGGATGATCTCCGCATGTGTGGTTCCCACCGTGAAGCATGGAGGAGGAGGTGTGATGGTGCTTTGCTGGTGACACTGTCTGTGATTTATTTAGAATTCAAGGCACACCTAACCAGCATGGCTACCACAGCATTCTGCAGCGATACGCCATCCCATCTGGTTTGTGCTTAGTGAGACTATCATTTGTTTTTCAACAGGACAATGACCCAACACACACCTACCGGTTGTGTAAGGGCTATTTGACCAAGGAGAGTGATTGAGTGCTGCATCAGATGACCTGGCCTCCACAATCACCCGATCAACCCAATTGAGATGGTTTGGGACTGCAGAGTGAAGGAAAAGCAGCCAACAAGTGCTCAGCATAGGTGGGAACTCCTTCAAGACTGTTGGAAAAGCATTCCTCATGAAGCTGGTTGAGAGAATGCCAAGAGTGTGCAAAGCTGTCATCAAGGCAAAGGGTGTCTCCTCCTAAAATATATTTTGATTTGTTTAATACTTTTTTGGTTACTACATGATTCCATATGTGTTATTTCATAATTTTGATGTCTTCACTATTATTCTACAATGTAGAAAATAGTTTAAAAAAAAGAAAAACCTTTGAATGAGTAGGTGTGTCCAAACTTTTGACTGGTACTGTATATATATTTTGAGGGAATAATACCCATAGTAGTGCAAGTGTAACTCGCAGGGTCAGTGTGAGGACAATACACAGCTCATCCCGCTCTTCTTTTCTAACTATCCCTACACTAACTACACTTTCTGTGTTGCCATGGGGATGTACTGAAAATCACACGCGCGCGCGTGCAAGCACACTCTCCTCTCTGCCCCAATGGAGAGGTAAAAATAGAAGCATGTCATATGCAGCAGGCTTATGTATGAGGGAGATGGCTACTCAATGTAAACATACTGTGACGTTCCAAAGAGGCTCTCTGAGTGTTCTACTCTCTCCCCCCCCACCACTCTACGTATCAGGCCACTGGACAAGCGTGGCCTATACAGTGCGTTTGGAAAGTATTCAGACCCCTTCACTTTTTCCACATTTTGTTACGTTACAGCCTTATTCTAAAATGGATTAAATAAAAACGTTTCCTCATCAATCTACACACAATAACCCATAATGACAAAGCGAAAACAGGTTTTAGAAATTGTTCCAAATGTATTAAGAATAAAAAACTGGAATACCTTATTTACATAAGTATTCAGACCGTTTCCTATGAGACTCGAAATTTAGCTCAGGTGCATCCAGTTTCCATTGATCATCCTTGAGATGTTTCTACAACTTGATTGGAGTCCACCTGTGGTAAATTCAATTGATTGGACATGATTTGGAAAGGCATACACCTGTCTATTTAAGGTCCCACAGTTGACAGTGCATGTCAGAGCAAAAACCAAGCTATGAGGTCGAAGGAATTGTCCGTAGCGCTCCGAGACAGGATAGTGTCGAGACACAGATCTGGGGAAGGGTACCAA